ATATATATATATATATATATATATATATATATATATATATATATGTACATATATATATATATATGAAGGTATGTATGTGTGAATCCGTTGCTGATATTATAAGAGAATAAAAAGGGGTGTACAAACAAATAAAGGAGCAAAAGGAAAACAGATTTGAATTAAATTTGCATGCAAATAAATCTTATTTGCGGTGTATATGCAGCAGTACGTTTGTTTCTGTATCATTAAATGCAGAAAATAAAAGATAAATACCTTTATTTAAATATTTTTAATTAATTGAATATATAAATAACAATTTATTTTGTTCATTTCTATAATTTACACTCCAATACTGCAGTTTATGTATGCATGCACCCGGGCTGTCGCTGCAGCGGGGTGTAACTGCGGAGATAAAAATCAGAAGCTGCCCGACGAAATATAAAATAACAATAAAAAAAATTATTTAATTAAAATAAAAATTAAATAAAAATTAAAAATAATATTCTTTAAGGGGTTTGCTGAGGCACTCTGACATCGATCTCCATGGGTTTGCAGCAGCAGCAGCAGCAGCAGCAGCAGGAGCAGCAGCAGCAGCACGAGTTCGGTAATATAGGGGTTGTTTTGCGCATAAAACCCATCTTTAAGAGTCATTTCATTTGTATATTATTTAAATTTAACATTTACTAAAAACAAATCAGCACAGAAGACAAAAATAAGCAGTTAAATAAATGTCATATCGCTGGGGGCCCGAGACTGGCGAGACCTCCCGCTGCATTCATTCGTGCTGCTGCTGCTGCTGTTGTTGCTGCTGCGCGCTGCAGCAGAAACTGCGGCAGCAGCAGTAGCAGAGGTTGCAACAGCAGAAACAGTAGTGATAGCAGCAGCAACAGCAGCAGCAGCAGCAGTAGTAGCAGCAGCAGCAGCAGCAGCCACGGTTTCGTGGGCAGTCAGTCCCCTGCCAGTGAAGTACAGCAAAGCAGCAGCATTGAAGCAGAGTCTAAGAGAAGGGCTGTGTTGCTTCTCGTACACAACTGCAGCAGCAGCAGCAGCAGCAGCAGCAGCAAGAGGTCCAGCAGGGGCAGCAGCAAGATCCTCCTCAGGGTCGGTTGGGAGGCTTGAGGCTTGACGCGAGGAAAGCAACTGCAGCAGCAGCAGCAGCAGCAGCAGCAGCAAGAAGCGCAGCAACAGCAGCAACAGCAGCAGCAGCAGCAGCAGCAGCAGCAGCAGCAAGCGCAGATGGGGAGGGAGACACAGAGAGAGTAGGCTTAAACCTTTTGCTGTTTGTAATTTTTGGTTGTGTTTTGATGTCTCTGCGTCTGTTTTATTTAACTGTCTCCTTTTACTTTTTATTTTGTTTTTAATTATATTCTGCATGCACCTGTCTTTGTCTCTCTTTGCTGCGCTGCATGCAATCAGGCCCTGGGATCGGGATCGCTACTCCCGATCCCGATCCCGATCCCGATCCCGATCCCGATCCAACTCCGTAGATGAGAAGGTAAGAAAGTCTTCTTCTTAGTGCTGCTCCCTAAGCATTTTGCTGCTGCTGCTGCTGCTGCTCCTGCTCGTCATCTTGTTGCTGTTGCTGGTGCTGCTGTTTGCTGCTGCTGCTCGTCGTGCTGCTGTTGGTGTTGCTGCTGCTGCTGCTGCTGCTGCTCGCCGTCTTGCTGCTGTTGCTGCTGCTGTTCCCGCGGGTTTTGTTGGTGCTATCGTTCGTCTGTCTGCTGTTGCTGCTTCTCCTCTTTGTTGCTGCTGCTGTTGGCTGCTGCTGCAGTTGTGCTGTGTCTGGGGAGACTGATGTGCTGTTATTGCTGTTGCTGCTGTTGCTGCTGCTGCTGCTGCAGTTGAAGAGAAGAAGAGAAGGAAACCGTAACGATGAATTTGTCGTACGTCATCCCCCTTATATCCCTTCCTAAGACACACAAACTGCAGCAGCAGCACCAGCAGCAGCAGCAACAACAACAGCAGCAGCAGCAACAACAACAGCAGCAGCACATGTTGTGAAAGCTGCAGCTCAAGATGTCGCACTGAGTGCAGCAGCAGCACAGCGATTAGACTCCTTTCTCCTTCTTCTGTGTTTGTTTGTTTGTTTTGTTTGTTTGTTTTGTTTGTTTGTTTGTTTATATTATTTGCTTCTCTTATATTCTTATACATACATATATATATATATATATATTTGTTTATATTACTTCTTTTCCTTATGTATATATATTGTTGTTTGTTTACATAATAAATAAACAACTAAATAATAATATATAAATACAAACAAAACAAACAAACAAACAAACAAACAAACAACTAAATAAATAAATATAAATAAATATAAATATAAATATAAATATAAATAAATATAAATATTATTTGTGTGTACACCAGGGGACGCGAGCACATACATCTGGGACGCGTCAGTTGCTACATAATTTTGATTATAAGCAGCAGCAAGAGAAGAAAAACAAATGTACAATATATATATCAGGTTTAGCAGCAGATCTTGCTGAGTCTGAGCTGCGTCTAGTCTTCTCTCCTTTCGGAGACATTAAAACAATTGAAGTGCCGAGGCATGAAGATAATAATAAGGTTAAGGGTTTTGCCTTCGTTGAATATGCTCAAGAAGAAGCAGCTGTTAGTAATACACCTACACCTCTCTTCTATTTAACTAATTCAATACCTACCTACCTACCTAGCTAGCTACCTAGCTAGCTAGCTGGGGGAATGGCTAGCTAGCTGGGAGGCTAGCTAGCTAGCTAGCTAGCTAGCTAGCTAGCTAGCTAGCTAGCTAGCTGGGGGTTTAGCTAGCTATTACCAACAAGCAGCAGCAGCAGCAGCAGCAGCAGCAACAGCAGCAGTAGAGACTCCGTACTATCAGCAGAAGCAGCAGCAAGAGCAGCACCAGCAGCAGCATCAGCAGCAGTATCCGTAAGACAAGCAGCAGCAGCAGCATTAGCATTAGCATAAGCATTAGGATTAGGGTTTTATGAATGCATTGAGTTGAGGTGTATATGCATGCAATTTGCTGCAGGAGATGGCGATAAAAGCAATGGATGGGTTTTACTTCAAAGGCAGAGAACTATTAGTAAAGGCCCCTTTAACTTTAGAAGAGAGAAGTGCTATCAAAGAAATTAAAGAAGAAATCGCAAGCGGAAGCACAAGGCCCATGCAACTACGCAAAAATAAACCCACCGTCAGTCAACGCTCTACGGTTTAGGGTTTAGGGTTTAGGGTTTAGGGTTTGGGATTTGGGGTTTAGGGTTTAGGGTTTAGGGTTTAGGGTTTAGGGTTTTAGGGCTTAGGGAGTAAAATTTAGAGCTCTTTGGAGCTGACGACGTTGCTCATAGACTTGCAGTAGGGTTTAGGGTTTAGGGTCTAGGGTCTAGGGTTTAGGGTTTAGGGTTTAGGGTTTAGGGTTTTGCGATTAGGAAGAGGCGAAGGGTTTGTTTGGGACGGCTCCCTTTCATAAAGACACCCAAGGTAAGACCGAAGTGCATGCAAAAGACAGACACAGCAGCTAGCTAGCTAATCAGCTAGCTAATCAGCTAGCTAGCTAGCTAGCTAGCTGCGGTAGTGTCTCCTTTATAAGAAAAGTGTCTCTCCCTCACGGGGTGTATGTGCAGCTACTCCTGTTCTTTTTATGTTTACAAATTAATTTGTAGATTTAACTTAATCGATTTATTCTTTCACAATATATATATTCACTCACATATTATTTATTATTTATTATTTATTATTTATTATTTATTTATTTATTTATTTATTTATTTATTTATTATTTATTCAGAGGCGATGAAGTCCTCGAAGCCCGAAGACGTCATAAGTCATGGGCGGGTGGTTCGAGTAACAAATTTGCCTGAGGCATTCGGAGAAGAAGATGTTAAGGTAAGCATCTTGCTGCTGCTGCTGCTGCTACTGCTGCTGCTACTGCTGCTGCTGCTGCTGCTGCTGCTGCTGCTGCTGCTGCTGGTTGTGGTGCTGGTGGTGGTGGTGGTGCTGCTGCTCTAGTTGCTGCTTTTCTCGCTGCTGCGCTTGCAGCTACCCTAATAGTTCCACCTATAGCAGCAGTAGCAGCAGCAGCAGCAGTTGCAGCAGCAGCAGCTGAAGCAGCAGGAACAGCAGTAGCAGCAGCACCCGTAGGAACAGCAGTAGTTGCAGCAACAGCAACAGCAGCAGCTGAAGCAGCAGGAACAGCAGTAGCAGCAGCACCCACAGGACCAGCAGTAGTTGCAGCAGGTGAAGCAGCTGAAGCAGCAGCAGCAGCATCAGGATCATCATCAGGAGCAGAAAAAACATTTGATTAGTTTGCTGAGTGTGTGGGGTCGCATGCATGCGTTGCATGCGTTTGCATGCGTTGCATGCGTTTGCATGCGTTTGCATGCGTTGCAGCAAATGCTGAGCGTCTTCGGACCGATAATGGCCGTAAATTTAATTGTGCATCTGCGAGAGGCGTTCGTACATTTCTATCAGAAGAGTCATGCTGAGAAAGCTGTCTCTACGATGGATGGGTTTGCTGTTGCAGGTTAGAGAGACAGCTACTTCAATTCATCTGTCTCCTTTTGTCTCCTTTCGCTCATCTCGTCTGTCTCCTTCTGTCTTATTTTGTCTCTTTTTGTCTTTCTTTTGTCTCCTTTTGTCTTTGTCTTGTTTTTTGTCTCTTTTTGTCTTTCTTTTGTCTCCTTTTGTCTTTTGTTGTCTTTTTTGTCTCTTCGTTGTCTCCTTTTTGCTTTTTCTCTCTTTATTGTCTTTTTTTGTCTCTCTTTTGCCTCCTTTTGTCTCCTTTCTGTCTCCTTTTATGTCTTTTAGGTCCTTTTGCTGCCTCTTGGTGTCTCTCAGTGTCTCCTTTTTGTCTCCTTTTGTTGTCTCTTTGTTCTCTCTTTTTTTGTCTCTTTTATATTTCCTGTCTGTCTCCTTTTGTCTCTCTTTGTCTCTCTTTGTCTCTTTTTGTCTCCTTTTGTCTCTCTTTGTCTCTTTTTGTCTCTTTTCTGTATTTTTTTGTCTCCTTTTCACATATTGCTGCTTGCATTGTATTATATTACTAATCTAATTAATACGCTGCATATATACTTATAAATTTATTTATATTTATATATATATATTTTGTATATATATATTGTATATATATTTATTTATATTTATTTAGTTTATATTTATTAAAAGTTTATGAGTATAGATTCGTATCAATTTATTTATGTAAACATTTATTTATGTATTTACATTCATTGATATTAATATATATATACATTTATATATTTATATATTTATATATTTATTTATTTATATTTATTTATTTATATTTATTTATAGACAAGAGACTCGGCGTTGCGATAGATAAGTTAAACGGACAGCGGCCTTCGTCTTTGATTGTACTCAAAAATTTACTGCCTCCTGAAGAAGTTGATGATGAGCTTAAGCAAGAAGTTAGCATAAATATACTATTTATTTATTTATTTATTTATTTATGTTTGTTTGTTTGTTTGTTTGTTTTTTTGTTTGTTTGTTTGTATATTATATAGATTATGTATAGTTGTGTTTGTATGGATATGTATTCATGCTGATATAGGTGTATATATTGTATATATATTAAATATATATATATATATATATTAAATATATATATATTAAATATATATATATATTAAATATATATATTTATTTATATTTATTTATATGCATAAGATG